CCATACACACAGTGCACCAATGTCCTTATGCATGTCCTCACAAGTCTACAGTGACAGGATTTGTCTTTAAAAGTCCCGTAATAACAGTCAAGCATAGTATAAGACTATACCTTCACTTTTATAAAGATGCTCATAAAAAGGGACTATCATATATATTTGGAGCACATGCACTCTGTCACGCCTCAGGAGGACTCAGGAGGACTTAGTAGATCATGTGACTGAGCAACTTCCCTCTGACGCAGAATCACATTCACCGGAATACTAAATACATTCACCTGTGTTTATTGTCATATGACTCACTTAGTATAGTTTATAAGCCCGGGCTTTAGTCTTAGTCGTTGCGAGGTATTGTTTCTGCTAGAACTTGCTGAGCGTTTCTATTATTTTGTTTGCTACTACCTGTTATGACCTACGTTTTGTTTCACTGACCTTGATTTTTGCCTGTCCCTTCTTGTACTTTTGCTGACTGTTTTTGGATACGTGTTTTGATTGTTTGGCCTGGTTTTTTGACTACGATATCGGATCACTCCCTTGGATTTGTTTGTTTTGGTTATGATCACTTCGGTGATCTTGTACTGCTTTCTGATTACGACCCACGCATGTTTTTTGACCTCTTCTTTGTCGCCCTCGAATAAAGCTTGGTGTACACTTTCTATCCGCAAGCGTCTGAATCCTGTTGCATCGTCACACACTCGCTAATAACAGTGTTTTCTTTGTTTAAATATTAAACTTGTGACAAATCTAAACTGAAAGAAATCAAAATGGTGTAGCACAAGTGTAAATTTAGGGTTAGGGTTTGGGACAGACACCTCACAAAAGTGAAGAAAGAACACTGTGAATGATAATATTGTATATATTTAGCACATTCCTATCTCTATTAATACCTTGGGCTCAAACAGATCCTTGTAACAAATCTAAAGTCTGAAAACTTTATTGTTTTTGGAATGGTTTCAACTAATTTGGTAGAATGCTCCATGTATGACACTCCTCTACTTAAAGGGGAGGTGCAGATGCTCTATGTGCTCTACCGTTCAGGGGTCTATGATCCTTTTTAGCCAAATTCTAAGCTAACCTGAGCCTAATCTCGTCACTTTTATAATCTTTTTTGGTGGTCAGGATTTTTTTACTATATTACAGCAGGTTACTTTAGAGCCGTACAGCAATACGATGGCAGTACAGTGAGCAAAGTGTTGGACCCTTCACCACTATAAGCGCATATTTTTTTCCAAATGACACAAGACAATCGTAAGATTATGCAAACATTAACAAGAGCAGGGGTTCACTGCTGTGCTCACGTACGTTATCTGACTGCGTTTACTCACAGATCACAGCATGTTAAATAATCTTCGCACCTCATTCCACTGCCCTACCTCATGTTCAGAAATGAGTGCTGTGTTGGTGCTGCACTGTCCTGTCTGTTTACTGTGTCTAATGTCTGTTTTATTTATCGTATTTATTGTATTGTTTCTAGTCAAATTGTTTTGCACACTCACGTCTGCACGTTGCACTTTGTACTGCTTATTTTGTTTCATGTTGCACCGTGTAGTTCCTTGGAGGAACTTAATCTCACTCCACTGTGTACTTGTACATAGATGAAATGACAATAAAAGCCCCTTGACTTGACTTGACTTAACGACTAATGCAGCACTTCCCTACAAAGCTGACTTTTTATATTCAGCTTTTTATATTCAGCCTCTGCTCTGTCTTAGTCTCAGCTCTCGCTTTTACAGGTACGTCTCTCGAATATATGGAGCTTCATGGTCACCTAAACACCATACTCCGATCTAGACATCTGATTAAGAAATCTGATAAAGAGGCTGGATTTGAGCTCAGTTATCAGATTTCTCAGTGCTGTAAACTCTTACTCTGATTTCTTTCCGATTTCTCAGTCTGAGCATGTGCGAAAACAGACTGCGGTACCGGAAATAAGTGAGCAGAGTCGCCGCGAGATGCAGCCAAGCACTTTAGGAGCAACGTTGAAACCAAATACATGCTTGACGAAATGAAGAATTTAAATATTCTTCATCTTCTAGATGATGTTTGTTCATATTTTCAGGTAAAGTGACTCGATGTTTAAAAAAAAAAGCCACAGTATGAAGTTTGAGTTTTACATTACGTTTACGTTGCGTCTTCTGTGAGTTTATTGGCTGGTTGTAATACAGAAATCTGATTACTGTCTGATTCATGTAGACCCGGAATTTCCCCATTATCTGATTACTCAAGTGCATATAAACATGTTGATCGGATTACTGACAAAATCAGATTTTCTGCAGTTACTGGATTATTAAGTGAATGTAAACACACCCACTGATAAGTTAGTTCCTTTTTTCGCTGTGCCGATTGTGAAGTTCCCACTATTTCTAAACATCCTAGTTTCAAAACTGAGATGTTTAGAAATAACTGAAAGTTGAGAAAAAAAGAAAATAAGAACTTAAAAGAAGGCAGTTTTAACAAACAAAATAAAGAAGAACTGAAGATTCTGCACTGTTTCTTGGTCCTTATTAAAATTTAAGCACGTTTGTGACACTGACCATGTCGAGTGCTTTGCACAAAAAGTACAGACTAGTTGTTTAGTCTGATCTCGTCCAGCTCATGTTCAGACGACTTTCAGGTGAATTTGATCCGCTCAGCAGAGGCTTGTGTAAAAACACGTGGAGGTCATAGCAGGTCGAGCGTCAGTAAAACAAATAAGGGAACTGAAATTCAAGCACATATTCAAAGATTCTACTTTTCACTCAGATTGTCATGCTGATAATATAATTTGTAATAAAATGTTTGTATTACATTAGAAAGCCTTTTCACTTGTGGTGTCAGACTTTTGCACTCCACTGTAAATAAATATATAGGATTATTATCTGAAAATCAAAGGCGTGTTTTGTTTTCATTTGTTGCTGTTAGTATAATGAACACTTCAAAAATTGCTGCTGTATTTGTGTTCTGAGTGAAACACTGGGTGCCACTGGCTTTTATGTTATTGTAAAAACACTATACATTATACGCTATACATTATACTTTAACTAGTTCAGCATTTTATATATACAAATTGCATATATATATATATATATATATATATATATTGCTGCTGTCAGAGCAAAATCCTGTGTCTCTTTTTTTTTGTTTTTTTTAGTTTTTGACATAATTTGAAAATACCCCTGGTCCTATGTATTGTGTGTAAATGAAAAATGGTTCCATTGACTTACATTAAAAGTAAAGTATGTTTTTTGCCTCTCCTGTAAAGTTACTATTTTGGAGATACAGTGCATCCGGAAAGTATTCACAGCGCTTCACTTTTCCCACATTTTGTTATGTTACAGCCTTATTCCAAAATGGATTAAATTCATTTTTTCCCTCAAAATTCTACACACAATACCCCATAATGACAAAGTGAAAAAAGTTTGTTGAATGTTTTGTAAATTTATTAAAAATTAAAAAACACGTTTTCTACACTTTCTACACATTTCTACACTTTATCTGTATTACTGCACCTTTGCTGGTTTTTATTCAGTTGGTTATTATGTACATCTAGGAAAATTACAGGATGGTAACAATTTGTGGATTAACAAGAAAAGGTACATTTTTCGTTCTTCAAGGCACAAACAGTGTAAATGTTCCCTCAAAGCTCCAACCGTGGTTTTAAGGTCTGATTGTGAACCTTAAATAAGTTTTTCCAGGTGAAAAGTTCGTATTTGTACCTTTTCATAACCGAATGTTTTAAAACAGAACAGTAAAATAAAAGCCTGGAGACGAGACGGGGTGTGTGGAGTCAGTACAACTTAGAACATATCATTTCAGTGGATTATGGTTCAATTATGTTCCCTGACTAAAGGTACTGAGATGGACCCTTGAGGGTTCCACCCCAGAGACAAGAGGGCACTGACCCAGAGACAGTTTACTACCTTTATTTCTGAGAGTGTACAGGGAACAACATTAAATGAAGAAGGAAGGTGTTACTGTGCACAACAATGCGCCATGTTTTTCACAGTAGAGCACAACCTTTAAAGTCCTATTGCTTTTATACAACAGATTTTGCAAACTAAAGGAAAAAACCAAAGCAGATGAGCCATTGTTTTAAATGCATAATACTGGCAATGTCTTGTGCTAAAGAATGTAGTAAAATATGTAAAGAAATACGTACTAACATTACAAAACATAACACTGTAAACATCACTATGGATAAAAGTACCTGGGACAAGATGTAAGACCTAGTCTAAAGACGTAGTCTGGATGGCAGCATATGTTGCCAAAACATGTATACTGTTCAGCATTAATGGTGCCTTCACAGATGTGCAAGTTACCTATGCCATGTGCACTAATGCACCCCTACACCATCATGAATAGTGGCTTTTGAACTGTGTGCTAATAACAAGCTGAGTGGTCTTTAGCCCGGAGGATGTAGTGTCCATTATTTCCAAAAAGAAATTAAAATTTTAATTCATTGGACCACAGGACACTTTTTCCACTTCGCCTCAGTCCATCTTAAATCAGCTTGGGCCCAGAGAAGTTGCTTCTGTGTTCACAGACAATAATTTCTGGAAGTGTTCCTGTGTTCATTCCCATGCAGTGATTTCCAGTATAGAATCATGCCTGTTTTCAATGCAGAGCCGTCTGAGGACCCGAAGATCACAAGCATCCAGTATTGACCGTCGACCTTGTTCCTTGCGTACAGGGATTTCTCCAGATTCTCTGAATCTTTTGCTAATATCATGTATTGTAGATGGTGGGATATCCAAAGTCTTTGCAATTTACATTGAGGAACATTTTCTGAAATTGTTTCACAATTTTTAGACAGTTTTTTCACAGATTGATAAACCTCTGCCCACTTTAATATTTTTTTATGATGTGGTAAAATGTCTCACTTTCAACATCCCACATTTTTTGGAAATGGGGTTATATATCAAGGACTATATTGGAAATAAGTCTAGGACTTTATTGCGTAATGCATGACACATTTTGTTGTGACACACACAGTTTGTTCCTCTTTCTTTGATTATATATTCTCTCCAGGTCTGCTCAGTCTCAACATTGCAGTTCTAATCAAGACGAACACTGACTCTGACTGAAGGCCATGGAGAGAACAGCAGTCCTCTTTGTTCTCCTCAGCTTCTGCATCACCTCCCTGGGTGAGTATGTGTGTCTCTTTACAATAGAAATATACAGTGAGAAATAAACAAGTATTCAGACAGATTTCTTTGTGATATGTAATATATTTACAATACATAAATCACACATATGTATTATTAAGCAGACAAGATTAGTTTTATTACTTTATTAAAATATATAGCAATGTGAAAAAATTAGACACCCCATGTAAACCTTTTTTATCTTTAATAACATATTTAAACATAGAGACTTTTAATATTCATTTTCACCGTATTGAGAGATGGATGTAATACAACTAAACAAACAAAAATGCAGAAATGGTTTTTAAAAAATTATTTGTAAAATGTAATTAATAGAAATGTAATTTTCTTGTGAGGAAAAAGGTAAGACACCCCCACATTTATTACTACTTAAAATGCCTAAAGTTTGTCTTGTTTAAACCTGAGACATTCAGTTTGGTTTGCTCTTGATTGTTAAAGTGAGTAGTATCAACATGCCGAGATACAAAGAGCTCTCTGAGACCTTCAGAAAGGAAGTTGTAGATGCAAATGAGTCTGAAATATGAAGACAGTTAGAAATCAGCCTTTCCACTGTCCGAAAAATAATTTACAAGTGAAGAACATTTAAAACAACTGCCACCATGGCCAGGTCTGGTCGTCTTAGCAAGTTCAGGCCAAGAGCAGACCGTGAGATGCATAAAGAAATCTCCAACAATACTAAAATGTCATCACAGGACCTACATGTAGCTCTTACCACAGTAGATGTCAAAGTCCAGAAATCTACCATAGGAAGGAGATTGCACAAGTTTGATTTTCATAGGAAGTATGCAAGGAGGAAACTCTCACTGTCAAAGAAAAACATCAAGGCTAGACTAAAGTTTGCCACAGAACATCTAGACAAAGACCGGGACCTCTGGAGCAATGTGCTTTGGACAGATGAATCCAAAACTGAATTATTTCAGAGTAACAGAAGACGTTAGGCGCAAACCAAACACAACATTTGAGTACAAGAACCTCACGCCAACTGTGAAGCATGGCGGTGGAAGTGTCATGGTTTGGAGCTGCTTTGCTGCAGCAGGGCCTGATGAGCTCTCCATCATAAAATCCACTTTGAATGCCTTATTGTATCAGAGGGTGCTTTCAGAAAAACATGAGACCCTCCTAAATCCACAAAGAAACAGCTCAAAAGGAAGAAATGGAGAGTTCTGGAACGGCCCAATCAAAACCCAGATCTTAATCCTGTTCAAATTTGTGGATTGATGTGAAACAGGCTGCACATGCAGGAAACCCCTAAAACTCAGCTGAAAGAGTTTTTTTTAGAGAAAACAGGAAACATCTAATTGAGGTTATTTCAGTTAAAGTGGAAAATATCAGCTATTTGGACACAGGGTATCCTACCTTTTTCTTTAATAAGAATTGGCATCTTTTACATTTTTAACTGATAAAAAATGATGCAATTACATCACCTTTATATGTAGACATTGTTTAAGATATTGTTAGAAGATATTATCTATCTATCTATCTATCTATCTGTCTGTCTGTCTGTCTATCTATCTATCTGTCTTTCTATCTATCTATCTATCTATCTATCTATCTATCTGTCTGTCTGTCTTTCTATCTATCTATCTATCTATCTATCTATCTATCTGCCTGTCTGTCTTTCTATCTATCTGTCTGTCTGTCTATCTATCTATCTATCTATCTATCTATCTATCTAACTGCCTGTCTGTCTGTCTGTCTGTCTGTCTTTCTATCTATCTATCTATCTATCTATCTATCTATCTGCCTGTCTGTCTGTCTTTCTTTCTTTCTATCTATCTATCTATCTGTCTGTCTGTCTGTCTGTCTGTCTTTCTATCTATCTATCTGTCTTTCTATCTATCTATCTATCTATCTGTCTGTCTGTCTGTCTGTCTGTCTTTCTATCTATCTGTCTGTCTGTCTATCTATCTATCTGTCTTTCTATCTATCTATCTGTCTGTCTGTCTGTCTGTCTGGCTGTCTATCTGTCTGTCTGTCTGTCTGTCTGTCTGTCTGTCTATCTATCTATCTATCTATCTATCTGTCTGTCTGTCTGTCTATCTATCTATCTATCTATCTATCTATCCTTACAGCTCTGGAGTGTAGAGTGGTTCCAGGCAGGCTGAAGCAGATTGATGTTTCGAACGGTCAAGTGTTTGGGGTCAACTCCAATGATCAGGTCTTCACCCTGTACAGCACCGGCTGGATCCAGGTTCCTGGATCTCTGAAGCACGTCAGTGTGGGACCTGCTGGCATCTGGGGAGTCGATTCCAACAATTACATCTACAAACTTGTGGGAGGAGATTGGGTTATTGTTCCAGGTGTGCTGGTCTTACTTCACAGACATTTTACATACAGTAATGTAATAAATACAGTCATATACCCACATTATACCCACATTATACACACATATACACAGTGTAATACACAATTATTGCTTATTTGCTGAATTTAACATGTAAAAAACCCTAATAATTCGATTAAGTTTAATTCAATTCAACTTTGTCATCACACATATACAGGGTATAACAAAACATGTTCAAGCTACTCCTCTGGTGCTTGAACATATAGACAAGGACATGAGATAAAACGGGCCTTACCCAAATGATCAATATGATCATCCATTTGGGGCAGTGGCCTCCACTGGCCTCTCTGCTCTCCTCTTCCACTCGCACCCCTAATGTGTGCTGATGGGAAGAGCGGAGTTTCAGTTTACAGTGTTGTCATCTAGCCTTTGGTCACCCAGAACCTTCTTCGAAGTTAGGATAGTCCCGGCCCACCAACAGTGTTTGAACTGATTGTCCATCTACTTGGAATCTGTGAGTGGGGCCCTCAACCTTTGTCTGGCCATGTAAACTGCAGCTTGCCAGTCATGCCTTGGAGGGATGAAGCAGTGTAACTGGGTCATGCTCGGTGGGCATAGGCTCATCTACAGGACTGTGAGAGGCGGTGTGGCATGGGGGGCTGGCTCTTGTTAAAGTGCCGCTTTTTCTCTAGGTCATGTTGTGACTGGACCTTGTCTGGACAGAAAGGGAGCAGTGGCTAATGGTGCTCGGATTATGACAGAGCCAGCATGTTTTTAGTGCACTCTGTCGCTTCTACCATGTCTCATGGATCTTTGGGGCTTCTCATTGCCACTGCCCTTCTGAGCTTTATTCCATAGCAAAGGAACGATCTTCAGCATTAGAGAAGGAAAAAATATCAAACGAAAAACAAAAGGGAAGCTGTTTTCTGACTGGTGGAGTATAACTTCTCCCAGGAGTGCAGCCTGAAGTAGAATTTAGAGAGAGAGTTATGCTGTGAACTTTTCCCCACATTTTTACATTTAAGAGCTTCAATTTCTGTCCATCTGTTTCTGCCCCTAAACTATGTCTGCCCTTGCTTCCCAGGTCTGCTGAAACAGGTGGATGCAGGAGGAATGTTCTCTCCAGCAGGTGTCAGCATGAATGATGATATCTACTGCCTTACTGGGGGGCAAGGTTCTTCCTGGACAAATATCCCAGGAAAGCTGAAGTACTACAGCTGTGGGCCGTACAGCTGCTGGGGAGTCAACTCTGCAGACAACATCTTCATTATGAAGGTAACCTACAGACACAGCTGAAGACACAGACATGAATTTTGGTCAGAACGTAGTAGTTCCTCCTGCTACTCAAGCTCATGAGCCTGATTGGCCTGAAGGAGGCCTACGGCATGGTGTTTTATGTTTTGGCCCATACCTCCTACACCGTGAAACATACTTCTGGTTCATACTAAACCAAAATTCATCAAAAACCCAGAGTCGTCCTTCTGGGAAAAAAGATTTCGATTTTTTACAAAGTCTACTTTTGCAAACTTGTCGTATGTTTCATCTAATCCTCACGAAACATGTCTGCAAGAGACTGAATCTCAATACATACATACATCATCTAAACCGCTTATCCTTCTGGGTTGCTGGAGCCTATCCCAGCTGTCATTGGGCGGAAGGCAGGATACACTGTGGACAGGTTGCCAGTCCATCGCAGGGCAGACAGACAGACATACACATTCACACCTAGGGGCATTTTTAACATGTCCAATTGGCCTGACTGCATGTTTTTTTTGGACTGTGGGAGGAAACCGGAGTACCCGGAGGAAACCCACGCAGACACGGGGAGAACAGGCAAACTCCACACAGAAATGACCCTGGTCGCCCGGCCGGGAATCGAACCCAGGCCATTCTTGCTGTGAGGCAACAGCACTACCCACTGCGCCACCGTGCCGCCCTGAATCTCAATATTTAACATAAAAAAATTATCATTTGTAAACAACATGGCCACCACATACCAATCAATCCTTCTGGATTAGAGCTGCTGTAGCTCATGAACACTTTGTCTGATTCTAATGAAACCTGATGGGCTTGTGTGACAAAAGATCCTAAAGAAGTCTGTAAATTGTGGCATTTGTATGTCAGTGGGAGCACTATCAAAGCTAAGTAAACGTTTCTCAGCATCTGTACCTCCGATCAAGCAAAGATGTTGAATGCTGTATTTTTCAGCTTACTTCTAGGAAGGTTAAGGGTGATAATTAGAAAACTCAGCTTTCAGCAGCCATTTCACAGGCTTAACATCGACTAATGGAGCTTTAATGGTGTGTCTAAGTGGGGATCTGTGAATGACCTATGAAATTTTTCCAAGAATCTGATCAAATATATTAGAGCTGGACCTGAATATTCAATTATTTTGAAATTTGTTTGTTTGGTAGGTATTTGGTTTTTAATTTTGGAATTCAGATATTCATTTTGTTTTCTTTTTTTAGCTAAATATGAGCTATCAATAAAAGGTGAAGTGCAAAATACTGTAACATTTGGGGTCCTCAGGAGAAACTTAGACGACTCGAGGTTACTGTGCATAACGCAGCTTTATTTTTAATCTGCTGAAAACAGTGCCAAACAGGGAAAGAAGGAAACGCCATCTCCAGCACTAACAGCTAAAAACACAGCGCTCTGCTCAACAGCCCCACATACACATATCTTTCCTTTAAAAACTGAACTATTTACAGTCTGGTCAGGTGCCACAATACATTTGTCAGCACATTCTTGCAGTGGACCTCATTGAGCTAATCAGTGCTTGGACTCCAAGTATTGCCACTTGCATATATATATATATATGTTGTTTTACTCTTGATTGTACTTTTATTTCAGTGATGATTAAAAATCTTTGGCTACTCTTATTATCTTATTTAACTAATTTATTAGTCTCTGCCATGTTTTTACTGAATTTTTAGTCTGAGTCTGCTTTATTTCAGGGTGTGACTCCAACTACTTGTGCTGGCTCCTTAAGCTGGCAGCAGATACCTGGAGGTCTTTCCGTGATTGAGGTTTCCACTGATGGAAAAGTCTATGGGGTCAGTTCTATTGGAGAGGTCTTTCAGAGGTAATTTTATTAGGCAGTTATTATTGTGTATATTGGATGATTGGGAATAAAAGTGCTAAATGAATCTTATAGAAATGAGATACCTTGTATTCCCTTACAAAAAAAGTACACTTAATTTTGTTAAAAAACTTAAGTAAAATTCAAGTATATTTCCCAAGTATACTTTGTGTAGTAAGTGTAATAATTTTAGTAATATACTAATATTAATGTACTAGTAGTATACTTGTAAGTGTACTATTTCAGTACTTCAGTACTAAGTATACTTTGAAGAATACCACAAGTAAAATTTTATATATGTGTGTGTAGTTTCCATTCCCCAGCTGTTCTCTCTGTGTAGGTTTCTTTTCATAGAAATACAGTCAGGTCATATATATATCTCAACCTGACTGCATGTCTATGGGAAACCTACACAGAGAGAACATGGAAAGGACATTGGTCACCCAGCTGGGGAATCGAACCAAGACCCTTCTTGTTGTGAGGCAATGGTGCTACTGACTTAGTACATCTTGGTCAAAAGATTAAGTAAAAGTATAGGCTGAATATACTTAAACTTTTCCGTATAGTTGTAAGTATAAGCCTTGTAAGTATACTTAAGTAGAATTCTGTTTAGTATATCTCTGATACATACATAAAAGTATACTGAAGGCATACTCACTTATTATTTATTTTAAAAGAAGTATACTAATAGTAGACTTGAATAAACTTCTGTTTTGTAAGGGTTGTGATACCAAATGACCAATGTGATCGTATTTTGCAGGGAAGGTGTTTCACCAAGTAACCCTGCTGGCACTGGGTGGCGCCAAGTGCAGTCCCCTCCGAATATCAAGCATGTTTCCTATGATCTCGGCCATCTGTGGCTCATCGGCAGAGATGACAGCATCATGGACTGCACCGAATAAAAGGAGCGAGACCTCTAGAGCCCTACGGTCAAGTTCAGATCAGACGTCCCATCCCTTCTTAGAGTCTCTGGGGATGAACAGCAGCACAAAAGAAAAAATAAAGTTATGATCTATAATCAACTCTTTCCTGATTAAATTTCCACCTTTTCTATTGCATTTAACCAAATCTTTCATATGTTGCTAGGCTGAAAAAGAAGGTAATATTATGGCCAATGCAATAAATCTTTACTTTGATTAAGCAAATTTGAATGAAGTGTTATTTTTCATTTCATACATTCTATGATTTAAAGGCTTTGTTTTGAAAAGTCTGGGGTACTAGAGAAGAGACAGATACCTTTAGAAAAATATTTCTCTTGAAAAAACAGAAGTCCTCTCTTATCACATGTAAAAGTACTGAGTTAATATAGCTGCTGTTCAATAGCGGTGCTATTGTAGACACTTTTATTGACACTTGTAGTGTGCTCACCCAGGGAATCTCCTGTCTGCTGGATTGAGAGCAGAGGTGTGCTACGGGGTGGTCAACCACCAGCCACTAGTACTACGCACTGATGGCCAGGCAGGTCGCCTCAGTGAGTCACATCAAATGGCTCAGTTCACCAATAAGAACCGGCTGTTTCAGCTCCTAAACAGCTCTCCATTCAATGGCAGTTTTTTCAAACTCGCAAGGTCAGCAATATTATGATCTTTGTGTCTTTTTAGAGCTTCAGTTGTTAAACGGCATCATACTGTACCTTTTACTTAACAAAGTGACATTGCACTGATCATTGCTCAGATGCTATCTAGGAAATCACCCTTTTATTTTTTTTTACAAAAATCTCAACGTAAATAATGACATTAGCAGATTTCCAGGTTTTAAAATATATGTTTATTTCTTCTGGATGTTGACATCACCTCTAGTTTTACAAAACCCATTTCCAAAAAAGTTGTTTAAATGATGTGCAAATTATTTAAATCCTATATTTTATTGAAAATAGTGCAAAGACAACATATCAAATGTAGAAACTGACAAAATGTATTGTTTTTTGAAACATATATGCCCATTTTGAATTTAATGCCAACAACATGTCCTAAAAAAGTTGGGACTGGGGCAACACAGGCTGGTAAAGTTGTGTAATGCTAAAAATCACCTGGTGGTTGGTTGGCAACAGGTCAGTAACATGATTGGGTACAAAAGAGCATCTCAGAGAGGCTGAGTCTTTCAGAAGTAAAGATGAGGAGGGGTTCACCACTCTGTGAAAGACTGCACGATCAAATAGTGCAACAATTCAAGAATAACGTTTCTCAAAATAAAATAGTAAAGAACTTTTGCTTTTCCTCATCTACAGTACATAATATCATTAAAAGATTCAGAGAATCTGGAGAAATCTCTTTATACAAGGGACAAGACCCAAAACCAGTATTTGCTAGCCATAATCTTTGGCCCCTCAGGCGGCACTGCATTAAAAACAGACAGCATTCTGTAGTGGAAATCACTGCATGGGCTCAGAAACACTTCTGAAAACCACTGTCTGTGAAAACAGTTTGTTACTGCATCAACAAATGCTAATTAAAACTCTTAAATGCAAAGAAGAAACCATATATAAACAAGATCCAGAAATGCCGCCACCTTCTCTGGGCCTGAGCTCATTTAAAATGGACTGAGGCGAAGTGGAAAAGTGTCCTGTGTTCTGACAAATCAACATTTGAAATTCTTTTTGGAAATCATGGACACTGTGTCCTCCGGGCTAAAGACCACTCAGCTTGTTATCAGTGCACAGTTCAAAAATCAGTATTCATGATGGTTTTGTGGTGCATCAGTGCACATAGCCTGGGTAACTTGCACATCTGTGAAAGCACCATTAATGCTGAAAGATAAACACATGCTTTGGCAACATAAGCTGCCATCCAGACAACGTCTTTTTCAGGTAAGGCCTTGCTTATTTCAGCAAGACAATGTAAAACAATGTTTTGCATGTATTACAACAGCAGTGCACCGTATTCCCAAACACTTACAGAGTGCTGTTAAAAGAGGTGATGGGGGGCTCCTGATTGGTGCAACCATCTAAGCGCTGGCCCTATCATCAGGAGGTCACAAGTTCGACCCCTGGTGATGCTACAGCCATCCCTGGCCGGGAGTCCAAGAGAGCACAACTGGCCTCTCTCTCTGGGTGGGTAGGATGGCCCCCAGTGCTAGTCAGCGAAGGCATCTGTTAGCTGATGTAACCTCTGAGTGTGTTCGGTTGTACAATGATGTTTCGTGAGCCGAAAAGATGCAATGGCTGGCTTCACAGGTCCCAGAGGAAGCCTGTGCTAGCCTTTGCCCTCCTAAAGCTGGTGGTATCATGCGGCTGGGGGAGTCCGAACTAGTGGGTGGAATTGGAGAACACTAAATTGGGGAGAAAATGGGGGAAAATGCAAGAAAAAAAAGAAGAGGTGGTAAACAGGCCCCCATCCCAACCTTTTTGGAATGTGTTGTTGGCATCAAATTCAAAATGGGCATATATTTTTCAAAAAACAATAAAATTTCTCAGTTTCAATATTTGATATGTTGTCTTTGTAGTATTATCCTTTAAAAATATGGTTCACATGATTTGCATATCATTGCATCCTATTTTTATTTACATTTCCAACTTTTTTGGAAATGGGGTTGTACTTACCTGAGGTCGAGGGAAATCCAGGTGAGATGGGATGCAGGTTGCAGGTACCTGTAAAAGAGAAAACACTGTGTTATATAATGCTAGTTTATCAGTACTGTTGATATGTTGAATATGCACATGATTATACGATGAGAAATGGCCATACCGTGTGTGTGTGTATATATGTAATATATATGTGTATTGTTTGTTTTCTTGTCACCCCTAGATCTGAACAGTGGTATGACCTGGATAAAAGATGGTGATTTGGGAAGGTCTGTGTGGTTTCAGATCTATTTCAGAAGAATTGCACTAATTCTGCTTGGAGAAATGACTGCCGGATGCTGACTGAGGAGTCAGTGGAGTCATTTATACACAGCTTTGGTTTTTAAACTTTTCCTCACAATTGTAAATATTCTTGTGTGTACAGTTGCAATAAATCTCAGAGCACTGAGAAATGGAGACCTGATGCCCAAGCGTAGTGAATTAGGAGCCTCCGGACCACCCACCCCCCATATATATATATATATGTATTCAATATATTCAGAACAAATTTTTAATTTAAATGAGCTTTAGCCCAGAGAAGATGGCAGCGTTTCTGGATCCTGTTTATATATGGCTTCTTCTTTGCATGATACAGCTTTAACTTTGCTAGTTTGTGGATTGCACGGTGAACTGTGTTCACAGACAATGATTTCTAGAAGTGTTCCAGAGCCCATGCAGTGATTTCCGGTACAGAATCATGCCTGCTTTTAATGCAGTGCCACCTGAGGGCCTGAAGATCATGAGCATCTAATACTGACTGGTGGCCTTGTCCCTTGCGTACAGGGATTTCTCCAGATTCTCTAAATCTCTCGATGATATTATGTACTGTAGATGGTGGGATATTCAAAATCTTCACAATTTATGTTGAGAAACATTTTTCTGAAATTGTTCCACAATTTTTAGATGCAGTTTTTTGCAGATTGGTGAACCTCTGCCTCTCTAAAGTGCTCTTTTTATGCCCAGTCATGTGAGTCAGTTGCAAATTACTCCTTCAGCTGTTATTTATTAGTACCACTTACTTTTCCAGCCTTATGTTGCCCCTGTTTTTTGAGATGCATTGCTGCCATCAAGTTCTGAACGACTTCATATTTTTCATGAAATGGTAAAATGTTTCATTTCAACATCTGATATGTGTTCTATGTTCTATTGTGAATAAAATACGGGTCTATGAGATTTGCAAATCATTGCATTCTGTTTTTATTTACATTTTACACAGCATGTATAACCAAAATGCTGGATAAGTCATATTAGCTGGAGGTGCTGAAACAGCTCGCTAAGAAAAAGTAATTAAAGTGGCAAAAAGCTAAACATGCACACATCCCGGCAAGGGGGTGTGCCAGGTCGTTGGGTTTGTACCACCACTGTAGACGTTTTCTTATTTGCAGTTATAATCACTCAGTTGGTTTCCTGATATGTTTAATCTGCAGCAAGAAACCGTTAAACACTAAAACATTGCGAGGCTGGAGTCAGCTTCTTGTTCGAATTGTCCCAGTGCTTCCACCTTAAATGATGCAGCAGTTACATTCTTGCGGCTCAGGCACCATTTAAGGTGGAACCACGTGCTCCATTGAACAAACATCTACTCTCTACCGAGCACTCACTCTTTCAGTTGCTGATCATTTTTGAGGTAGAAAATGAAAACTGTTCCTCTGAAAGCGGCTGTAGCAGCAACTTTAAAGCACATACTGCATTCAGTGTAACGTCAGTCAGCATCGCTGAAATGCAGACACAGAGGTTTCTTAACTCGGTCTGACAAAGTTTATTCCTTAACTGCACAACCTCATTTTCCTCTGTTTATCATCAGCTGATAAACCACTGAAACTGAGATCAGGCTGTTTTTGTTTCAAGCTCTAACACTTTAGTAATTTGTACAAGCTCAACTCATCATTGTTGTTATTGTTATTGGTTTACTTCCAGCAAAAAAATGCAGAAATATGAAAAGGGCCTATAAAACCAAGCTTAAAATTTTACATATGTGATTAAATCAGATTTTTTGTTTTTACCAATCCTTAAATCAATATGACCATCTTGTAAGTTTTACTATGTTGCTAATAGTTCATGTGCATTTTGGTTTTAACAAAAGCAGATCTGTAATTTGGCTTATACATTAAAAATATAAACACAACTCAAAAGTAATCAAACATATTTGAATTAATTTATTGTTTGACAGAATGTTTTTGATTTATATATTAATGTAAGTTTAAATGATGGTCTTATACTATGACAAAATGCTAATATCTGTAGTCTTAAGTACACTAGCCCATATTTACATATTCATTAGCATTATTTTCTCAATAAGAAATCTTGTTCTTGTTTTGTCTAGATTTTGTTTTTACTACACTCTTAAATATGATGGTTCTTCAGGGATTCTTAAGTAAAGAAAATAGTTCTATATAGAACCATGAACACTCAAAGAACCCTTTGCATACTTAAAGGGTTCTTTGTATCATGAAATGGTTCTTTAGATTGATAAAGAATGTGCTGTAGATGGTTCTATATAGAATCTTTTTGAAGATGGCTCTCTGTACAGCACCAAAAAGGGTTCTGTTGTTACAAGCTTGACATTGGAACAACAGAAGAACCCTT